CAGTCATTGGCTGGTACATTTCTCAGGGCAATGCCCTTACCAATCAAATCAACCTGCCTGGTATAAAATGTAAACAGTGCCTGGCAGTCAACTGTCAATCATCATTAGCTGGTACATTCTCCATGGCAATACCTCTACCAATCACAGTCTGCTTACCAACCAATCAGCACTCTCCTGTCATCAGATGTAATGTTGGTTTACCCCTTGAGAGAATATGTTTGTCAACTCTTCTGATGAGTGCAAATTGAAAAACTTTGACAAAATATTCCTTTAATAAGTATAACTTTATTTTCATTCATGGGGTGAGGGCATCGCTGGCCAGCCCAGCACTGACTGCCCATCCCTAATTGTTCAGAGGGCAGTTAAGAGTCAACTACATTGCTGTGGGTCTGGAGTCACATGTAGGCCAGACCAGGTAAGAATGTCAGTTTCCTTCCCTAAAGGCCATCAGTGAACCAGATGGGTTTTTCCAACAATCAACAATGGATGCACGGTCATCATTAGATACTTAATGCCAGATATTTATTGAATTCAAATTCCACCATCTGCAGTGGAAGGATTCGACCTAGGTCCCCAAAACACCACCTGGGTTTCTGGATAACAGTCCAAATGAATGCCACTATGTTTTCGCCTCCCCAGCGATGATAATATACACTATTATTTGGGAATTTGGAATTTTAATATAAAGACAGATTCAGTTCGGCAAAGGATACTTTAAAAAAAAAGAGATAAGGAGGTTATTTAAAACAAATGAACTAAAGACAATTTCCAAGAAGGCATTTGATCCGCTCATAGAGTCATACAGCACGGAAACAGACCCTTCGGCCTCCCAACTCGTCCATCTGACATTTCCTAAACTGAACCAGTCCCTTTTGCCTGCTTTTGCCCATATCCCTCAACTTTTTCTATCCACATACCTGCCCAAATGTCTTTTAAATGTTATAATTGTGCTCACCTTTACCACATCCTCTGGCAGCCTGTTCCAAGAGATATACAAACCACCTTCTGTATGAAAAAGATGCCCCTCAGGTCCCTTTTAAATCCTTCCCCTCTCACTTAAAACCTATGCCCTCTAATTTTGGACTCCCCTACCCTGGGGAAAAGACCTTGGCTATTCATCTTATCTATATCCCTCACTATAAACCTCTATATTCCTCAATCTCCTATGCTCCAGAGGAAACAGTCCCAGCCTATCCAGCCTCTCCTTATCACTCAAACCATTGAGTCTTGGTAATATCCCTGTAAATGTTTTTTGCAACCTTTCCAGTTTAGTAATATTCTTCCTGCAGCGGTGTGACCAGAATTGTATGCAGTACTCCAAACGTGGCTTTACCCAAGTCTTGTACTGCCGTAACACGTCATCCCAACTTCTGTACTCAACGGTCTAGCCAATGAAGACAAGTGGACCAAACGCCATCTTCACCACCTTGTTTACCTGTGATGCCACTTTCAAAGAATTATGTACCTGCACCCCTAGGTCTCTCTGTTCCACAACACTCCCCAGGCCATACCATTGATTGTGTAAGTTCTGCCCTGCTTTGTCTTATCAAAATGCAACATCTCACATTTATCTAAAGGAAACACCAACTACCATTCCTCGACCACTATCCCAGGTGATCAAGATCTCTGTAATCTTAGATAACCTTCTTCACGGTCCTCTATATCACCCAAGTGCAAACTTACTAACCATGCCTCCTATATTCTCATCTAAACTGTTTATACAGATGAAAAACACTGATCCTTGTAGCACACCTCTGGTCACAGGCCTGCAGACTGAACAACCCACCCTCTACCACCATTCTGCGTCTCCTACCGTCAAGCCAATTTTGTGCCCAATTAGCTAGGTCTCCTTGGATCCCTTGTGATCTAACCTTACCAATTAGTCTAGCAAGGCCTTTAACAAGGTTCCGCATGGTAACGCCCACGTAGAAAAGGTCTTCCGTTCTACCTTCATCTATCTTCTTGGTCACTCCTTCAAAAGACTCAATCAAGTTTGAGAGACACAATTCCCCATTCATAAAGCCATGCTTTCTATTCCAAATCATTCCTTGCCTTTCCAAATGCATGCAGATCCTGTCTCTCAGAATCCGCTCCAACATTTTACCCACCACTGACTTCAAGCTGTAACAACGGAGTCACACAGCATGGAAACAGACCCTTCAGCCCAACTAGTCCATGCTGAACAATGTTCCCAAACTAAACTAGTCCCACTTGCCTGCATTTGGCCCATATCCCTCCAAATCTTTCCTGTTCATGTACTTATCCAAATGTCTTTTAACTGTTGTAACAGTACCTGCACCTACCACTTTGGTGATTAATTCCACACACGAACCATTCTCTGCGTAAAAAAGTTTGCCCCTCATGTCCTTTTTAAATCTTTTTTCTCTCACCTTAAAAACATGCCCCCTAGTTTTGAACACCCTCACCCTGAGGAAAAGATCCGTACTATTTACCTTATCTATGACCTCATGATTTTATAAACGTCTATAAAGGTCACCCCTCAACTTTCTACACTCCAGTGAAAAATGTCCCAGCCTACCCTCCATTCCTGGCAACATCCTGGCAAATCTTTTCTGGACCTTCTCCAATTAAATAATATCCCTCCTATAGCAGGGCAACCAGAACTGCACACAGTACTCCAGAAGTTCAGGAAAGCTGACGTTTCGGGTCGGGGTCCTTCTTCGGAATAAAAAAAAAATTCTTTCTGACGAAGGGTCATGACCCAAAACGTCAGCTTTCCTGTTCCTCTGATGCTGCCTGGCCTGCTGTGTTCCTCCAGCTCCACACTGTGTATTCTCTTACTCCAGCATCAGCAGTTCTTATTATTTCCTACTCCAGAAGTTCCCTAGCTTCATCTTGCAGCCTTTCTTAAATAATGGCATAACATTAGCCAACCTCCAGACTTCCGGCACCTCATCTGTGGCTGTCGATGATATAAAGATCTCTGCTAGGAGCCCCGTAATTTATTCCCTAACTTCTCACGATGTCCTGGGATACACTTGATCAGAACCAGGAGATTTATCTATCTTTATGCGTTTTAAGACCTCCAGCACCTCCTCTTCTATAATGTGGATTCTTTTAAAGACATCACTATTTATTTCCCCGAGTTCCCTAGCTTCCATGTCTTCCTCCATAGTAAATACTGAAGGGAAATATTCATTTAGGATCTCACCTATCTCTCCTATGGCTCCACATGTTGATGGTCTCGTTGATCTTTAACAGGCCCTATTCTCTCCCTAGTTACTCTTTTTCCCATAATACACATGTAGAATCTCTTTGGATTCTCCTTAACCTTATTTGCCAAAACTATCTCATGTCCCATCTTGCCCTCTTGCTTTCCCTCTTAAGTGTACTCCTACACCCTCTACAGTCCTCAAGGGATTCACTTGATACCAACTGTCTATAGCTGACATATGCCTCCTTCTTTGTCTTGATCAGAGCCTCAATATCTCTAGCAATCCAGTTTCCCTACACCTGCCAGCCTTGCCCTTCACATTAACCAGTGCTAAGTAGGCCTCCTGTGGTGTTAATGTATTAAATACTTATATTGCTGAGTTTATGACAGATGGAGAAAAACAGTTCAGAGGCCACTAGTTTAGCTTTGACTTAGGACAGAAAAATCACGTTTTCACCCACCACAAAAACAATTTAGTTTGTGAAGCCTTCAAACTGTGCGATTTTGCCTAGAAGCTTGCAAGTTGCCAGAACTGTAGAGAGGTTAGGCCATAAGATTAGAAAGGCTTCATGCCACCACAAAGAAATTGTAAAACCACTTAAGCAGTCCAAGAAGGGAGCTGAAAAAGATTCTTTTAAGAAAGAAATTAAGGAGTTGAGATAGCAGAGTTGTTTCTCTGGAATTGAGCATCTGTAAAATCTTTGATTTCATGATTTATGTTAAGCCTTTTCTAAAATGTCTTCTATATAGCTTTGTTTTATTTTCTTGTTCTGTATTATAACCTGGTACTCTCTGGTTAAACAACATTTGCAGCCATATGTATATATTCAGTAACTAATGAAAATGGTAGTTGACTGATAAAGTTATGAGCTATCAAGCCAGGTTTCATCCTGGGATCGGAATTGTCCAGCATTATCATCAGCTGGGATCTTAATACTATCACCATCAAGGGAGAAACCAGTCATGACAAATCTAACATTCAATTGTAACATTGCCATTGTTGAATCTCCTATCAACATCTGGGAGCTACCACTGATCAGAGACTAAACTAGACCAGTCAAATAAATATTATGGCTACAAGAAAAGGTCCAAGGCTAGGAATTCTGTGGCAGGTAAGTCACCACCTGTCTTTTCAATGCTGCCCACCATCTAAAAAGGCACATCAAGTGTGCGATGGAATACTCTACAGTTGCTCAAAAGAATGCAGCTCCAACATCAGAAAGGTTTGACACCATCCAGAATACAGCAGCCCATCGATGCATAGTAGCAGAGTGTGTACCACAAGATGGACTGCTATAGCTCAACAAAGATCCTCCAACCAGCACTTTCCAAACCCATGACCTCTAGCAGCTACAAGGAGAAGGGCAGCAGATGCCTAGGAACACTATCACCTTCAAGTTCCCGTCCAAACCACTTAACAACATCACCGTTCCTTCACTGCCATCACATCAAAATCCTGGTTCCTTTATCACAAAGACTGCAGCAATTCAAGAAGACAGCTCATCACCAACTTCTCCAGGATAATGAGGGACTGGCAATAAACATTAGCCTAGCCAACAACACACATCTGATGAATGAAAAAAAAAAAACAGGAAAAGCTGATTAATTCCATAACAGGGGAACCTAAGAGCTTTTTAAATTATGAAACAATTTGACATGCAGATATGGATGAGTTTTATTTTTACACACAGGGGAGACAAAATCCAGGAACATTTGAAATATGACACCACTAAAAAAAAAAAATCCAACCGGAAATTCAGAAGAAAGCTGTTTACCCGATGAGTGACATGAATGTGGAATATGCAACCTCAGCAAAAAAATTAACTTGTTTTCCAATACTCTTAAACACCCTCCTCTGCAGTGAAGTGTATAAAAGCCTTACCTTAAACTGGGGCTTTTCAGCATTAAGCAGCACAACATCACTGAATAACCTGAAAGGTGACAAGAAAATAACCATTAAAACATTAAAATCATTAAATCATTAAAAATGACTTATTTGTTAGTTTATTTTCTTTGGAGGATTGGCATCAGTTCTGCATTAAATGACTGCAACTCTTCCTTATGTAGGATCAAACAAACCTGTTGTATACAAATATTTGAAGAAAACAAAAATTGCAATGATTATTTTTAAAATGCCTTGGTCATTACTCAATTTAGGGGAGTGGCTCACCAGCAAGAACTTATGGATGTCTAGAGGTCCATGGAGATCTTCCAGGGGCCTGCAAAATGATGTCTAAAGCCTTACAGTGGACAACGTGGGTAGTAAAGGTAGCCTTGATGTGAGCCGCGGCTGCAGCTACGACATGCAACAGAGTGGCCTGGCTTTTCCGATCAATATGGGAATGTACATAGAGGGGCTACAAGTAGCACAGAGATTGCTACGTCAAGAACTAAGTGTCTCAATAAATAGAGATAGTAGGAACTGCAGATGCTGGAGAATCCGAGACAACAAGGTGCAGAGCTGGATGAACACAGCAGGCTAAGCAGCATCATAGGAGCAAAAAGGCTGACGTTTCAGGCCTAGACCCTTCTTCAGAAATGGGGGAGGGGAAGGGGGTTCTGAAATAAATAGGGAGAGAGGGGGAGGCGGATAGAAGATGGATAGAGGAGGGGAAACAAACAGGTCGAAGACGTGGGGATGGAGCCAGTAAAGGAGAGTGTAAGTAGTCCCCACCTACACTCACCTTTACTGGCTCCATCCCCGCCTCTTCGACCTGTTTGTTTCCTCTCCACCTATCCTCTCCTCTATCCATCTTCTTTCCGCCTCCCCCTCTCTCCCTATTTATTTCAGAACCCCCTTCCCCTCCCCCATTTCTGAAGAAGGGTCTAGGTCCGAAACGTCAGCCTTTCTGCTCCTATGATGCTGCTTAGCCTGCAGTGTTCATCCAGCTCTGCACCTTGTTGTCTCAATAAATACCTGCCTTCCTAAAAGTATTAAAACACTTTCCACTTCATATTGAAAATTATATATTATAAATGAAATGCAGCAGGGTTCTGTGAAATTCATTTAAGAGGTTCCAGTGCTAAAATTAATTCAGAACCACTGACTTAAAAAACTAATATCTATCGATAGGAACCTTAAAATAATTGATCACAAAATTCTTGTCAAAAATCCAGAAACTCTGTGGTAAAACAACGTTACAATATTCTACTTACAAATACTAGTTTGAAAATAATAGAAAAATGTTCGAGTTTCCAAAGACAAGACACATGCCCAAATACTTGAAAGGTTCCATTCTGCTAAACAATAGTGTGGGAAACAGAAAGTGACGGAAATCTACCTGTTCAATCAAAAGTGCAGACCATATTGACCATATCTAACACCCATAAATACTGTTGGTGGATATGAATGTGACTGTGGGCCTCAAACTCTATGCCAGGGCTCATTCCATGTCAGTATATGTATCATTTCAGTCAGTTTGCTGTGCACAAACCTAATGCAGACATGGCAGATATCTTATTCCATCAGGTCCACTTAGCCTACCAAAGATCAGAGTCAAAACAATTCTACCAATATGCTGGCTTCCCCATAATCCAACATCAATTTCTCTGAATGATTCACTTGAGTCCTGCATTAAATGCAAGAGTGTCTTCTACAAAAATATTCAATTGTTCCGTTAATGACAGAAGATTCCACAATATCATCACACGTGCAGTAGAAGCGCAATGTATGGGTTCCTTTCCGGAGCTCATCTGTTCGGTCCGCGTTTACTTTTTTTTTCTTTCTTCTTTCATTTATTTTTCTTATTTGAACCTACTTACTTTCTGTGGAGAGCTTGGCAGCTTCAGCGCATCTGACGCAAAGTTTCTTCCCGACGGTGGTAGCAGAGGGAGTGGGTTTGTGCTCCCAGCAGCAGTGGAGATGGAGGGAGGCAAGTTTGGGCCCAGTGCCCAGCTGCCTCAGTGGCGGCTGCATTGCCAAGATCAGCCCAGCTCAGACTCGTGGCAGCGACATCGTTGGTAGAGGCAAGATGGCGCCGAAGAGTGGTGACTCCAGCCGGCCAACTGCTTCGTGCTGGTCTCTACATTGGGGTGGAAGAGCCCAGATCCCATATCCTTTATGCACTTGAGGACTGTAATTTTGCACTTCTAACTTATTTCATTATTTTTCTACTTTATACTTCAGATTTTGTACCTAGGTACCTTTCTATTTAAGATGGCACCAGGAATGGTGACTTTGTACACTTTTCATTGCACTCCTGTACTTGAGTACACATGACAACAAAATTAATTCTAATTCTATTGAGATAAACCTGTGTCTACCTCTCACTTGAAGCAACATGATTTCTGTTCACAAAATGCAGTTGTTTCTTATGCCAACTACATTATTCAGCATAGCTTCTGGTAGGACAGTGACATATATCACTTATCTGTAAACAATGATGCACATGCCTAGGATAAAGTGGGTGCCCATATAATACAGCATCCTCCAACTTTCATTTTGGATAGGAAATAACCTTCGATAGCCCCAGATAAAACATTTATCATTGCTTCATTTGTACTCTTAGAAATTCATGTTTGAAACACTCCATGTATTATCATCAATGTAGTGGTCAAAGCCTTTATATTTTACTGCATGTACAGCAGAAGGGGGATGGTTTGGATAATTTTTATTCATGTTGATTTATGCAAGCGCTGAACAAAAAACATAATCCTTTATGCAAATCTGTAAATGACAAAGATGTGATTTTCCTTCTCATATCCATGACAACCTGAAGATTCTGGAAGCTATATTCATCATGAAAATGTTTTCATATTGTTAGAAAACTAGCTAATTCTAGGAGAGGGACACATCTCAATAAAATATATTATATTTTTTCTCTGACCTCTCACTCAATGAAGCAGTACCTAGTCAGCTGTTCTTTCACTACTTTCTGTGCTCTGTATCCATTCTGAACTAATTGGCCACAAACACACCCTGCTTTTGTGTGCATTTTCAATTCAGGTCACAACTCAGTACATCCTTGAAATGATAATAGAGCGCAGATTGCAGACCATGCTAAAGTGCACTGACTATGAAACACTGCTAAAATAGGAAGATTACGAGTTCAGACACAGCAGAGTAGCCAATTTCAATGCACTTAGCATTCTAATAGTGACTCTCTCATAATTTGTTTAAAATCACTTCTGTCATAGAAATAATATTAAAAACCAAGAAAAGACACCACAAATAGAGCAGCTTAATATTATGTAGGTTAAAAAGTCCAATTTGTTTTTATCCCCCATTACATTTACTTGCAACATCACAGAATCATAAAACCTCTACTGTATGGAAGCAGGCCATTCAGCCCATCCAGTCCACATACACCCTGCAAAGAACATCCCACCCTGACCCACCCCACTACCCTATCCCTATATTCTTGCATTTCCCATGGCTAATCCACCTAGCGTGCACATCCCTGATACTATGGAGCAATTTAGCAAAGCCGATCCACCCAACTTGACATCATTGGACTGTGGGAGGAAACCAGGGCACCCAGAAGAAACCAATGGAAGACATGGGAAGAATGCGCAAATACCACACAGACGGTCAGTCACCTGAGGGTGGAATTGAACCTGGGTCCCTCGCTGTTGTGAACCACCTCCCCTTGAAGAAAAGCAATGTTAAAGTATCAATTCAAATGAATTCAATCCCACGTCTCAGTATAACTAACTTTCTGTAAATTACAAATGTTGCTCTGAAGCTTCCTGAGATTTACAAAATGTGTGTGTTATTCATAGAAGCAATGTTTCCCCAAGCAACACAACAGTGTAACTTAAAAATTCTTGTGCAGACCACGGACAAATCAACCACTAAGTTACCAGGTGTCTGCAGTTGCGCAGAGAAATTTAAAGGAGCCACAAACTTAAACAGTCTGTGCATTCCAAAAATAAGAGAGAACATTGGTAGGAAACCACTCACAGTCAGTCAATCCCAAGCAATATATAGACGAAGGACAACATTCAAAAATGCTTAAACACACAGGATAGATCCATGTTTATAATTCCTCACACTGTGGAGCTCTTCATTTTGTTCACGTCCTACTGCTACAAATCAATCCTTTGAATTCTGTTGGGCAGTAATATTGACAAGTGGCTCAAATTCGAAGAAGGCCATGAACAGATGGCCAGGGACACATTAATCAAGTAGTTGGTTAAAGGCAGTGGTGATCACAAACTCCTTTGCAATAACGTAATCAATGGTGCACCTCATAGTTAGTTTCAGAGTGTGAATTTTGCTTCAACAGCAGTACTACACGTTACCATTTCATGCTGAAGTTGGCAAAGTGGTTTACATGTGGTTGGTACTTGCTTGTTTTGTAAACTCCGGCAATTCAACACATAAATATATAAAATAAAGTAACAAAATACAGCCATGTCCAAATAACTTTCATTTTATCATGCATTAAAAGACAAAAATAGTTGCTGTAATGCAATGAAGGTTTCCTACTTTAGCAAATTTAAGTGGTTTCTCACTTACGGTGTCTCCAACAGCTGGGCAATTGTTGGCATGCTTGTTTTCCAGGCTTCTGCAGAAAGGATAGACTGCAACACAGATACTGTAAAGAAAAAAGAAAAACAGGTTCTATTTTTATGCATCATCCTGCTTCTTGAACACTTTTTGTTTCATCAAACCAACCAAAAATCTGAAGATTAGAAAGTATGCTACTGAAAAACATGTACATCATGTAATGAATACCTCACCTACAGTAGCAAGTAGGAAATAGTCAACAAAAATGGACAATTCAGTAGCTTGGAACTAATAATACAGAATCATAGAGATAATGTATAGAAATAAACCATTTAGCCCATGCTGATATTCTCTCAAATGCGGTCTTTTTAATCTAGTTCCAACACCTTTGAGGGGCAAACATGAAAGACATGAATATCCACCTCAAAAGGGTAAGCAAGTATTGGGCAGTAGAAATCTAATCTGGAGTGAACAAGAACCCAGTTCCATCAAACCATGGCGATTCACACAACTGATGCACAAGGTGTTACCAACAGCAGACTCTAATTTATAATGCCCCTGCACAAATTGATCCAATACTAAACTAACAACCTCATTAGACTCTAAATACTGACATTACATCCCACTTGAACAATTACTCAGTAGATAAATTCATGTATCACCCTTGGGCCTAAAATCCAATAACTCTGGGCAGAGTTATATTAATTATCTCAACTGCAGTAGTAGCAAGACTGATAGAATCAATCAATTTTACCAGGATGGGTGCTTTGCTGTTACCATCATTTTCCAGCCATGAATGTGTGAATAAAAGATAAAAGCAGGATCTTAAATAACATTTACATAGCTTACTGATATTAACTGTACAGGGATACATACATGAATTCTATCCCTGAATAAGTCACAACCTTTAGGAAAGGAGCAGCATGTACAAAACAGGGGAGAAGGAATATTTGATTTAAATTATCTATGAAACCCTCAAAATTCAGGGTCATAATGATTTCTTTGAAATTGTTGGAACATTTAAAGTCTGCTGTTAAATCTGTAGCTAACTCCAACTACAAACTCAGAGGCTAAGACACTTTTTAGTTCACAATGGCTGTCTACTCCAGAAGTCCAAAGTAAGTGCCATTTCAGGCAAATTGCCTCAAAAAAAAACACACTGCTTAAAGGATTTTAAAAACTGCAAAATCAAGACACTGTGCCTGAAAACAAATATGAACTATTCCAAAGCTGTATCATTTTAGTTATGTCCATGGATTACACCAAATGAACAACATTTAGAGAAAAGGTCCCAATTGCCGTACCCGTTCTAAAAAAAAAACAGGATACCATGTGTGCAAAAATCTGGCATCCTACACAAAGATAAAATTTACTCAACGGTATAATAGCCAGCAACTGAAAGAGAATAGCAACATATATCTAAGTCATGATGATGTATGACCTGGAGAGAAGATCCTCATGCGTCTGCTTCCCTTCTTCTAAATGAAGGAGGTTACAGGACTGGAATATGTTACAGAAGTAGCCCTAGCGGTTGGGTGATGGAAAGAACAACTGAAATGTTTGAAAGTTATAAAAGTTCACGGCATAATTGAATACAAAGAACTAGAATTCAAGACTGTACCTTTGTATCATCTTCTCTTACATCATCTAAGACATCCCAGCAATAATCAATAAAGAGGAGACTTTTAAAAATTCTTACCTATTTCTGATGAGGGGGCAGATGGAAAGCTGTCCACTGGCACGGAATCTGGCGGCCTTCCATATGTAATCTCATACAGCAAATGGCCAAAGGAATAAACATCAATGGCTTCTGTTGTCTAACAGTACACAAATATACAGAACAAATATTAGAAATGCTAAAAGAGATCTTCAAACATTTCAATGTGAAAATTCAGTGTTTTTTATTAAACTTTCGAAGAGATCTTAACCAAGGATACACGAATGAATGAATTAGAAGCAGGAGTAAACCACTGCACTGCCATTCAATAAGCTGTTAGGACCCTCACTGATGTTTCGTTATTTTTATTTGTATTCTTTTATCAATTTTGCTTTGGAGCGGTGAATTGAGATTGTGACCTGAGGATGATTTGTGGACTTCAGGAAACAACTTGTTGCAGAAGGAAAAGAACAGAGCAAACAAGCTTTTGTTTGTTGAGAGGCCAAGCCTGGAGGTTAACTGCATGCTGATTCTGGATTAAAAGGGTTCGTACAGACACCAGGAAGGGCATTGTGTTTAAACAGAAAACAAAAGTTGGCTATTAATGAGGGCAGTATCTAACAACTGGTTCCACAAGTCTGAATGAGATCCCCATATTCGAGGAGATGGCAGATGTTGAATGGTGATTGAGGTTTCAGGAAAAGACAGTCAGTCTCTTAGGGTGGAACCAGAGTTGGAAATGCTCTTTTGAACCATTTTATTTGGAAGCAGGTTTGGCTTCTGATGACACAGCATGAAAGCTCCATGCCTAATCTCCCTCACTGGCTTTCAGAGGCCCAAACAGTAGAAAGCTGAGTTAGAAGTATTACTACCTGTGACTAAGTGAACTGAGAAGGTGACCCTGATCGACATCTCCAGAAAAGCAAAAAAAAAGTACACATCTGTGACTGTGAAACAACATATCATAAAAATCATTCATGTAATCTGGCCAGTTTTGTTATTTTCTTTTATTTAGCCCTTAACTGTGTCTGTTTGTCCATCTTTTGTGTAATTGGGGGGTGAAAACAAATATTTGTTTTCGGGAGGCGACGGCCTAACGGTACTATCACTGGACTGTTAATCCAGAGACCAGATAATGTTCTGGGGACGGGGATTCGAATCCTGCCACGGCAGATGGTGAAATTTGATTTCAATAAATATCTGGAATTAAGAGTCTGATGTTGACCATTGCCGATTGTTGGAAAAACCAATCTGGTTCACTATTGCCCTTCAGGGAAGGAAACTGCCATTCTGACCTGGTCTGGTCAACATGTGACTCAAGATCCACAGCAATGTGGTTGACTCTTAACTGCCCTCTGGGCAATTAGAGATGGGCAATAAATGCTGCCTGGTCAGCGACGCCCTCATCCCGTGAATGAATTTTGAAAAAATTTCAGATTTAAAGCACAGACGTTAATTAAATTACAGTGCTGTTTAATTGCTTCTTTCAAAATTATTGCATAATTAATAAACTGTTAAGTCTTTTGTTTAACAATAAACACTGTCTGGAATTAATTATTAGCAAAGTCTGGGATTGGTTATTCAAAAATATGGTTAGGAACGATTGGAATATCTATTGAGTGTCTTCAATGGTTTTAATTTTACGGTGTCGCAAATGCAAAGTTAAAAGGCTGACTTGTTTTAGCAATCTGTCTCCATGTTGTAACAAGGCTCACAGCTAATATGATTCCTTCACATGCCTTTTACCCCTTTGTTTATAAAGAATCTATCCAAATCGGTCTCAAATATATTCATAGACTCCAACTCCCCCACCATTTGTGGAAGTGTTCCAAATACTGTTGGAAAACCCTCAGAGAAATAAAATTCTCAACTGCCTTACAAGAGGAACCACTGACTTTAAGCAGCGGCTTCTTGTTGTATGTTCTCCCAACAAGAGAAAACATCCTCTCCAAGTCCATCCTGTCAAAATCTCTCAGGACTTTATGCTTCAATAAAGGTGCTTTTTAGTTTAAGCCCAAGCAGATACAAGCCTAGCCTGTCCAACATTATCTTACAAGACAGCCCACTCATTCAAGGTTTTAGTCTCATAAACCTTTTCTGAGCAGCTTCCAACAACTGCGCAGCCTTCCCTAAATAAGAAGACCAATGCTGTACATTGTATTCTAGACATTGTCCAATGCCTTGTCTAAACGAAAAACAAAAAAAAAAAACTTTCCTACTTTGGTATTCAATTCCCCTTGTAAATTAAAGCAGTCTATTAGCCTTCTTAATTATTTCCTGTACCTGCTTCTTAAACTTCTGTGATTTATGTACCAGGACCCCTAGATTCCTCTGCAATCTCCCACTATTTAAATAATATGCTTTTTCTCTTCTTCCTACCAAAATTAACAATTTCACATTTTCTCACATTATACTCCTTTTGCCATATCTTTGCCCAGTCACTATAACTACATAACTTTGTGATGTAATAAGAAAGCGATATTACAGTTGACTCAGCCCCATTTCCACTTTTCCCTTATTTGTAGGAAAGCAACTTCACCACCCTCCCTCCTCTGCTCCTCTTCAAACTGAATAGTAAAACAACAAAAATCATTTGCAATGGATATTCAGTGTGACAAATTGAGAAATGCAAAATTCTACCTTGACAAGAATTCAAAAAGTGTGGTAACAAATCAATCGTCTATTACACCACACCAGGTTTTCATTTTCATTAATGAAATGACGTGGTGAACATGAATTTTACTTAATGACATATGGAGGGAACAGAAACTATCCTAATCAGTCTCAAATAGTTAAAACTAGTCTTGTAGTTATTGAGAGCTTGGGTTGTAAATATATATGCGCAAAAAAAAAGAGGATCCAGTCTTTTTAGCAAAAGCAATAAAATTGTATTTTTAGATTTACCCTATTATTATGAACAATTTTAAATTTAGTCCAATTTCTATTCCGCAAAACAATAACTGTTTCATAGTCAACATAGTGATCCCAATCTTAACTGGGTTCAAACTCATCTGCCATGACTGAATCAAATGATGGTGATAAAGGGATTTTATCCCCATCGAGGAAAAGCTAAGGCTAATTGCTCTGTATAAATTGCTTTCTTTAGATAATCTAGCAGCACTACGTATATCATCGTATCATTTCAACTGCAAGGAAACAAATATAATATAAACCAATAGTGTGATATGAAAACAAGTGAAAGATAACAGTCTTAAAAGAATGAAACATTATTTACATTGATTTTCCTGGACTGTGTATAGTAAGCTCTATAGTAGCTGGGCAATCCTAGTAACGAGTTTTCTAAATCCAGTAATTTACATGTCTCTCCATCAAGCATCACGTTCGAAGGATGAAGATGTCCATATGGAATTCTTTTCTCATGAAGAAACTTCAACACCTGGAATTAAAATCAAATTAATCACCGAGCAAATAGAACCAAAACAAATCACAAAAGTCAAGAAGAATTCTCTTTAAATGAATATTAAATGGAGTTAATAAGTAACAATTTGATAGAAAGAACAACAGCAAAGTCAATTTACCTCAAGTATTTGTCTCCCAAAAGTTTTTATTTGTTGAAGATCAAGCCCCTGGATTTTCTTAGGGCTGCAGTATTTCTTCACAAAAGGATCTTTTGGTTTAGCCTTTGCAAAATAAACAAAATAATCGCAAAATTACTGCTCATTGTTATTGGTGCTTAAATATCATATTTTAGAATATTCCGTACGTGAACCAAATAACTGATAGATTATTGATGTGTGACTGGCAGCATTCTTAACAAGACAGCAACTGACCGACTGATCTGCCACAAACGGCCAAACAGTTAGTACTTGGTATTCTTTATAACCTAGCATGATAGAAGATATAAAACTAACCATATTTTATATTCACAATTACTTAAAATCCTATAGATATTTTTACCTAAATAAATGAATAAAAATAGTATTTATGTATTTTGCCGTTATGTGTTTCAGAAGATTCAATTGTCTTATTTGAACAATATGGAAATAACCAACTGCTATAAATCAACCAGCAACATCTGGAAAACTGCAGGACTTTTACTAATCTGACCCAATCCCCAGTTCACACTTTTGCCAGTTGACAATGCATGCATAGTATTCATAATAGAATCCAAATCAGCTACAATATGGAAATGTTAATCTGACAGCCCCACAATTTGCCCTCACCTTGAACAGCTATTTATTTAGATAATTCTTTTTACACTAAATTTTCAGCAACTCATTTCTTATTTCCAAAAATGTCCTGATCAACCTTCCAGTACAACCTGAAGATGGCTCTCCAGAGAGCAAGTGGACTGTATTTTTAATTCCATATACAGTTCTGGAATGAAAGTTCCAGGTCCACAGCAGGTCAGTTACTGATTAGCCTTGCTCTGAGCAAAAGACTTAAAACTTAAACTTGATTAGAGTTTTCTGGAGAAACGAAATTGTGCCACTGTTCTACAAAATTTGCTACTGTTATTCTTTGTCGGTGTAGAAAAGTCAAAATTCAAATCCTGTTTAAAAATGCTGCCAGGACAGATTATTGAAATTGGAAAACAGTAATATGCTATTTAATGAAGCATACCTTGCAGATATAATCTCTTAGCGTTCCTTTTTCATTATACATTCGGATTACAAGTGCTGAAGAATCACTCGCTGTGGCAAAGGTTACAGGATAGATATACGGATGCTAGAGGTTAAAATAAAACATCTCTTTTTCACAACAGAAATCAACTCATGCTGGAAGTTTATGAACAGATTTACATTAATAAAAATGTACACTAATGACCCCTTCTCCCAGTGGCTTAAAGATCAAGTCAAAGCGCTGAACCACAGACCAAATATCCGATCCAACCCCTGACTATTGATACAGTCTAGCCTAGCTAGCACAATGCCAGAAAAGTAGTGGGATCAGGGCAAAGAATTGGGAGGACAGGAGACACAAGAATGTTGTGTTTGAGAGGGGGTGCGAATCCATCAGAGTTTCCAACTGATTGAGCAAAGTGGGAAGCATATGTGTATGGATGTCAGATAGAATGGGCATTCACTTTCATGTCACAAGATTAAATATTTCACCACTGAAGAGAATAAACCAATTGCTGCATAACTGAAGACATGCATATATTTGACAGTATTATTCTAACACCGGCTGGATCGGCAGCTTTATGTTATAAGCACGTAATGAGACAATAATGTTGCGTTCTGGTTAGGGATCAGTAGCTTTTGTATTGATTTAAAACTAGACAAAATGTAAGACCAAGGGCATTTCTTAAGAGAATAAAACCACAAGATTCCACACTTTTGAACAAACAAATTCTACAAGTCAGAACAGCAATACAATGTCTTATTTTATCTCATGTACAACACATCTTATTTCTACCACCCAGCAGTAACACCTGGTAAATGTGAGTAATATACTGTGATCAAACACCCTACAGTGTGCATCAAATGGCAAATGCAATCAAGACAGATTCCCACGGATTTCTCAGCAACTCCCTCCAGGCACTAATGATATGGTAGGTCATGACCTGTTATTAAAATTCACAAGAGATTACAAAATTTCACTTTTGCAGGCTGCCCTTGAAACGCCCTTGCCAGAGCTGTTCTGTCATGGACTATTTCAACAACTGGTACTGTTGCGGTCGATCATCCACCTGTCCCAAGTTCACGTTCCCTTGACTATGAAAGTGCACATCTACACAAGCACAACTCCAGCTTTTCACCAACAATGAGCTTCATCAAATTATAAACAAAAACAGAAATTGCTGGAAAACTCAGCGGGTCTGACAGCATCAGTGGAGAGAAATCACAGGTAACATTTCGGGTTGAGTGAACCACCTTCTTTTCAGGTTATACACATCCCTGAGTTTTCTCTGAACAATAATATTGCTCAGTGTTTGAAGCTACAACTGCTGTGGCTTTTCAACTCCTTCAGCTGCACCTAAATACCGATGTTCGTAAGCTTCTTCAAAGCCCCTCACATGTTCTTCACTCACACAATCAGCAACATTCCCATTTTCTGATCTCTTCAGCACTTCTGAGACTCAACTATGCAGAAATAATCAACTGCTTGACTTCTTCCCTGCAAAATAGCATTCTGAGCAGGTAATGTGCCTGCTTCTGTCCAACTAAACTATGTCTTTGCAACTCCTTTTCAGTGAATCCTGACCTTGCCTCAGTAACCTATCAAAAACCTTGTAATCATCCCTCTCTATTGCAGGGTAGAAGTGAATGTTATTACTCTTGAAACTCAGTGCTTCGTAAACATTATTCACACATATGCATTATTCCCCATGCGTAGATTTCATCACAAGTTCAACCGTGGTTATACAATCACAAAGTAACTGCAAATGTTAAGCATAAATCAAAATTTTGCAGCCTTTGTTTCACACTGAATTCATTCTGATTGATTACTTACAGACCAAGAAGGTAAAAGTTTCATTGCTGATTGAAGATCTTTATCAGACAGAAACATATCTGGACCAAAGTCAGCCTACAAACAGATCACAAGACATATAAAAGGGGAGGCTATACAAATGGCACATTGGTACAAACATGTGAATTCAAATGAGTGGGCCTTGAGCCCCTCGAGCATGTTTTACCATGGCTGATTTAGTTGCATCCTCAAATCTGCATTCCTGCCTACCTAATGACCTTTCACACCCTTAATTAACAAGAATATATCTACCTCCGCCATAAAATTATTGAAGGACTTTGCTTTCACTATCTTTTCAGGAACAGAGTTCCAAAGTCTCCTGACTCCAAAAAACATTCATCTCATCTCGGTTTTAAATGCGCAACACGAGATTCTCAAAGTGACCCTTCATTCTAGATTCTCCCATAAGAGGGAACACCATTTCCACATCTACCCTGGCAAAGCCCCTTAGGATCTTAAATTATATCAAGTCATCCCTTACTCTTCTAATTCCAGTAAAAGCAAGCCTGTCCAAGCAGCTCTCATAAGAGAATGCTCTCATTCCAGGTACTAGTCTGGCAAACCTTCTGAAAACTGCCTCCAATGCATTTACATGCATCCTTAAATAAGGTGACCAATGCCTTGCACAGTAATCCAGCTGTGGTCCCACCCATGCCCTGGATAACTGAAGTATAATCTCCCTACTTTTGTATTCCTTTGTGATAAACTGTAACATACCATTAGCTTTTTTTTTTAAAAAAATTACTTGCTGTACTACATACTAACCTTTTGCAACTAATGCACAAGGACACCCAGACTCCCCTGCACCTCAGACCTTTACAATCTCTTACTATTGTATAATGCTTTAATATTCTTCCTACTAAAATGGACAATTTCACGTTTCACACATTTAACTCCATTTGCCAAATCTTTGCCCACTCACTCAACATAACTATATCTTTTTGTAGCTTCCTTACATCCTCTTCACAACTTATTTTCCTATTTATCTTTGGGTCGTCAGCAAGTTTGGCCTTCCATCCCCTCGTCCAAGTCATTTATACAAATTAACTAGCTGAGCAGCAATTCCTGTGACACACCACTCCTAACATGTTCCCAACCTGAAAAAGACGCATTTGTGCATCCTCTTGGCTTCCAGATCGTCAGCCAATCTTCTGTCCATGCCAATATGCTACACCCCTACACTACTAGTTTTTATTTTCTGCAATAACGTTTGATGTGGCAGCATGCCAACTGTCTTTTGGGAATCTAAGTACACAACATCACCAGTTCCCCTTTAGTCACATGTTACCTCCTCAAAAAGAACATCAATAGTTTGGTTAAACAAGTTCCCTTTCACAAAACCATATTAACTCTGCCTGATTATCCTGAACACATCCAATTGCCCTGCTATAACTGCTGTAATAATAGCTTCCAACTTTTTCCATATGACAAATGTTAAGCTAACTGGCCTGTATTTTCTGGTTTTCTTTCTAGTCCGTTTTTGAATAGTTACATTTGCTATCTGCCAATCTAATGGAAGGGGAGTTTTCTTTTCCTTTATTCATTCACAGGATAAGGGTGTCACTGGCTAGGCAGCATTTATTGCCCATCCCTAATTGCCCAGAGGGCAGATAAGAGTTAACCATAATCCTGTGGGTCTGGAGTCACATGTAGGCCAGACCAGATAAGGATGGCAGTTTCCTTCCCTAAAGGACATTAGTGAAGCAGATGGGTTTTTCCGACAATCAACAAATGGATTCACAGTCATCATTAAACTCTTAACTCCAGATTTTTAAAAAAATTTTAAATTCTACAATCTACTGTGGCAGGATTTGAATGCAGGTCCGAAGACCATTACCTGGGTCTCTGATTTAATAGTCCGGCGTTAACAGCACCAGGCCATCGCCTCCCCAAACTTTAACTCAAGGGACTTAAGAAAATTAAAACCAATGCATCATCTATCTCACTGGCCACCTTGTTTCAAAACAAACCTTAGGACAGTGGTTTTCAACAACAAGGTGAGACATGTGCCACAAAAATGTTCAGGAAACTGCACTATTCGCCTGAATGTTGAGGCCACGTCCATGTTTCCGCTTTCCTCTGGAGCTTCGGTGTCTATTACTGAAGGCAGCGTCACCTGACACTAGGTGCCCCTATCAACTGTGCATTCACAAACCTCCAGAGCCATGCATATGTAGACTTCCAATGCCATGGATGCATTATGGAAAAAAATGGGTGCACTGTGGAATCAGTGTGCCTTGATACTGAAAAGGTTGATAACCACTGGCTCTAGGATTAAACAAAAACAGAAATTGCTGGAGAAACTCAGTTGGTCTGGCAGCATCTGAGACTCTTCATCAGACTTGAACTGTTAACTCTGCTTTCTCCTCACAGATGCTGTCAGACCTGCTGACTTTCTTCAGCAATTTCTGTTCAGATCACCAGCATCCCACAGTTCTTTGTTTTATTGCCCGAGGATGAATTTCATTAGGACGCGGTCACCTGTCAAACTGCAGTTCCAACAATTTACTCAGTAGGACTTCTCTGGAAATTGAGATTTTCCCGAGTTTCCCTTTCTCTTCCATGTCCTGATTTATCACCACTTTTGCAATGCTGCTTTTATAATCTGCGAAGACTAATGCAAAATCCCTATCCTGTCTCACTTTCAATAAGATCAAAACTCACTTTGTTAATTCATTTCCTCTTCAAGTATTTACTCTAATTAGCTATTTTATACTTTTGGCTAGTTTTCTCTTGTACATTGATTTTTCTCTCAATGTTTTGATGATTCTTTGCATTTTTTTAATATTCTGTCCAATCTTTTGACTTGACATCTATCTTGGCATCAGGTTGGCTTCAGAAACTATCTTGAAAATATTCTAGGTGACCTTTGCTCATTGCCATGCTGCTCAATGCTTCTTCCTTTATGCTCCACTTAACCGTCCGTTTATTGTTGGGGAGGCCATCCCACAAATGACTTCTTGCCTTTATAATTTCTCATTTCTACCCAAACAGTTTTGACATCTAGCTTACTTGGATTAGATGATCCCTATCAATTGTGCCAATATCATCATTCAATAAAACAGCCACCCCTCCATATTTTACTAGATTCCTGTCATTTCTAAATCTTCTGCAACCTTTAAGGTTCAGGTGCCAATCCATGTCATCCTGTAGCCATGTCTCCATCATGGCTACCAGTTCAGATCTATTTGCACTGTCACTTTGGCTGTTTTGTTTTGAACGTTCTTGGATTGAGATATATAGCCTTAAATTTTATTCTTTTCCTAAATTCTAGTCTTATTTGTTGTTTGACTCTAAAGATTTGTGTTCTCTAGCCATGCTTTCAACCCTCTAATCTGATTTGCCCTATGTCAATTTGCACATAGCTCACCTAATAATGCAGACATTGCAACTTTTGAGGATATTTATTAGTTTGGCTCTTGCTCATCAGACTGACTATGGTGAATTCTTCTCTCTCCTACCGGTTGGTGCCACTGTCCAAAACCAAGACCACAACGACAAGATCCTCCACCTCCTAATGCAAGTTCCTCTCTAGCTGCAAGCAGATGTACCAAACCTTGGCACCAAGCATGCAATACAGTTGTCTGGAATCATGCTTCTTGCTGCAGAAAACAGTTTCGCTTCCATCACTATACTCTTCCCTCCTATCACTTCTTCGTCCCCGCTCCAGTTATAAAAGTTTAAATACGAACATGAGTAAACTATACTGAAGTGAAAATTACCACATAAAAGTCAATCCATTGAGCAGAATTAGTATTTCAAGATTAATATACTGAAACAGAAAGTCATATGTAGGGATACACCTCAATTGTTAACTTTTGCATTATAAACTCTCATGTATAGATTTACATTAGAAATTGACAATGCCAAGTTGTTACGCTGCAGTTCAACTTTCCAAAATGAATTCCCATTATTGCTTAGGAAATTTTAAAGACAACCAAAGATTGCCAATAATAGCAAAATGTCTGAGCACTTTTAATACCATTATATACCAATTTTTAACCTGACAACAGAAAGTTAAGCTCAGTCAGTACAATTTTTTCATTGTTGGCCCTGTCTATTTGATCAGGGAGAATTTATATGAGAAGTAAAAAAGTGAAAAAGCCAGGCAGCATCAATCTACAACTAGCATAGCTGTCATTTCACACAGAGGGGGAGTTTGGCTCAAACTCCGTGATTTCACCATTATGTTCAAGAATCCAAAGGTTACAGGAAAGTGAAATTTGTAAAATTACAAGTTCAGGATTTTAGTCATTTAAATCACACTTACCCAACTTAATACTTGCCGTTCTTTGGGTCGATCCTTACTTTTTATTAAAAAGTGCCGTTTTCTTAATCTCCAACCTTGGAAAAATAAGAAAACACTCTAAGCAATCAATACATGCATAAATAATCTATAATTTTTTAATCAATGTTAATGAAAACATTGCTGTAATTATCTTGTCACAACAAAGTACAATACAAACTTTTTAAACTGCAGTGTCTGACAGTATTACATTCCAAACCTTTCTCCAGTACTTCAGTAGTTTCCATCATTACATTCCAAAACATGAATTCTCTCCAATCTCAGCAGACACAAAAAATGAGGTACAGCTAAAAAGAACATTCAAATTCAAACCAAGAATTCTTTATTAAATATGAAGTTTGAAGCAGATGAACTACTACATGCTCTTTAATATATCACAAAGGGATTACCTGCAAAATCTGGTTTCAAAATCCAGTATAAGTGCATATATGTTCACGCAATACTTGGTCAGCACCATTGTAGTTTCATACCACAGGTCATAACAAAGGATGCCAGTGAATATAAAACAAAATATTTCTGCTAAACCAAGACAATTTTTGCAATTCTATTCAAGTAGTCATTTTTTATAATAATTGATATGAAAGTTAATTATGAAATCAATAAACAAAACCTATCAATCTTACAATAATTCTTAGACTACACCATTCATCATTAGCTGCGGCAGGAATTCAAATACTTTAAACCTTAACATTAATCATTTTCTTACATTGCTCATGCGCTAAGAATTAATTTATAACACACATCTCTTGGACCTAGCAAAATGAGAGCAAGCATGAACTTAGGGTACAAATTAGATAATGCAGAAAGATTTGCAGAGTATAGGCAATGGACCAGGCTTAAGAGGCGAAGTCACAGAACAAAAAGAACTTAAATAAATAATATTAAATTGAGAGTGGAGCACAAATTATGCCAAAAGCATAGTGTGGACTTTAGTCAAATCTAAAATTTGTAGAAGTCCAAACATTTGCATAGTGTTTGTGAACAGAATTCCATGTCTTTTTCAGATGATCTCTCTTTTGTCCTTCTTTACTTTTTCACTGTCATTTGTTGCCTATCCCCATTTGCTCTTAAATTGAGTGGTTCTTAAGTTTGCCAGACTGGACAAGGATAGCAGATCTACTTCCCTAAAGACATTAGTGAATTACGTGGGTTTTTATATAAATCAATGATTGCTGCCATGGTCACCATCACCAATACTTGCTATATATTCCAGGTTTACTAATAGAGTTTAAATTCCACCAAGTGCCATGGTAAAATTTGAAGCCATATCCCAGAGCATTAGCTTTGGAATACTAGTCCAGTAACATTAACCATCTCACCCATTTTGTAGTGAAAAGCATACAATAATCCATTCACCTCAATTTAAATTTAACATAACATCATTATCTGTATCTTGGATATTTTTTAAAACCCTAAAATCTGATTGGATTCCATTGGTTTTGAAGGAATACACTTTTCAAAGAATACTCGAGCTGGATACAAGTTTTGGCTTTGATGAATAACCAGAATAGAACTAAGTTGATAAGAAATGTTACAAAACTGATATAAAACTTGAAATTAACATTCAATTTATATAAACGAATATGACGAGAACAAATATGGAAGATTTAAAAAAAATGTGGAATGTTTATCATCACCAGGGCTCATCTTGCTTAATAATCAGATAAAGTTTTTTTTTGCCAACTGTTAAGGTCCATTTGAAACAAATTGAGGAAGCCACAACCCACAACTATAATTAAGGAACTACCTCCAACTCAATACTAGCCAGAGACGCTGCAAGTTTAAAAACAAAGTCATTGCAACTAGAGTAAAGAATAATCACCAGAAGAACACAGAGATGCTTACACCTAATCTGCAAACCTTTCTGTATGTAAGCAAGAATGTTTTCCAAACCTTAACTATGAAACATCTTTCCTCAATAAGCACAATAGTTCCCAAAAAAAAATACACAGACTACACTGTGTTTACTTACCTATTTCCTTCAGTGGTTCTACCACCTCCCAGTTAGGTTCAGAACGGAAGAACATGGATACCTGCTGTAAGGCAATTTCTGTGTTGCAATGTAAAAAGAGGGAAAAAAGGATTGTAAACCATTCCATATATACATGTTAAATTCAGAACAATGACAAATAAGAAATTAGTATTAAACTGATAAAGTAACAAAAATAACTTTAAAAATAGTTTCCAGCGCTTACTTTATCATACCAGATAGAAATATGGAACATGCAGTAACTAACAATTTTGACTCAACGGTTTGTATAGACACATAATGAGTTTGCAAATCTTGTTTGGATCATTGATTCAGCTGCAGGAATTTGCAATGCTTTTCCCTTTTCAGTTTATTCCACTCAACTGTAAACATAAGTTGCTCAACAATGAAAGATAATTTTGACTAAATCAATGGAAAGAATTTATCTAACTATTATATTGCTCTTAGACGGAGTACACTTAAAATAAAATTTGATTCTTTATGTGAAGAGAGCAAGCTAATCCCAGCTAAGGTAGCTTGGAAGCAAGGGGCTACAACCGGCCACAGGTTCCCATACAAGGAACAATGAAAAGTCACCTCAAAAGATCCTGAGCTTCTAATGGCCATCTAGAAATCTATTAGTGGAATAGGAGTCAATGATATGAAAGCATTGCCCAAGACTCAGCAGTGATTGCTCCACAATCAATGTCCAAGTTCAAGCACAAAAAATACACTTGCGCAAACCACTCAACGAATGTTACCATTTGCAAACCAAACCAAAGCCCAGAGTGATCCATTCATTTAACTAATGAAAGTTATCAAGACAATAACTCTTAATTTCATTTAAAGTTTAAGAACTAAAAAAGTTGAACTGTTACTACTTTCAACTTAACTTTAAATAACTAAGGCATTTGTAAAGGCATTGAATTAAAAACATAATGATGTTTTGAGAGCTTTGCATTGAAACAGAAAAGGAGGAGTTGGGCCATTCAGTCCTTTGAGCCTGTTCCATCTTTCAATCATGGTTGATCAGCCAATTCGATTCCCTGCTTCTGCTTCCGCAGCATATCCATTGATCCTTTTGCCCTAAGAACTATCCTGTTGCTGCAGAAAGGAATCAATTCAAGTATCTATAATTATGTACTATTTCATTGAAGATGTAATTTTCAGTAATTCAACTTAAAATTAAATCAAATGTTAGTAAAGCAAACAAATCCATTTTTGTAGTACTGACCAGTGTAGTTAGAGGAGTAGTTGGTGGGATCAAGAAATTTTTTAACCAGTTCACAGTTTGACAGCATATGCTGTGTTGTGATGAAATTCAGGTAATTCTGAAGTCCTTCTTGTCTTTCTGCTATGAACTCAGGATCCATATTTCCAATGAGCTTTTTGGGAGGTAGAGGTAGGCTCAGGCCCGAGATCTGTAATAAACTCAAATTTAGTGTAACTGTTAAGAACATTGATTACTTGACTACGTTATTTTACATTTACGATTTAACAAATTTGTATTACACTGTAGTAGAATGTAATTGTGTATAATAGTGCATAGTGGCCATAGAAGACAGAGTAGCAATGGAAGGGTGCTTTTCAGAATGGAGATCAGTAACTAGTGGTGTTCCGCAGGGATCAGTGCTGGGACCTTTGTGGTTTGCTTTTTATATAAACATATAAATGATCTGGAGGAAAATGTAGGTGGTCTAATTTGTAAGTTTACGGATGACACCAAAATTGGCCAAGTTACAGATAGTAAAGAGGATTGTCAAAGTATACAGAGGGATACAGATAGATTGCAGATTTGGGCACAGAAATGGCAGATGGAGTTTAATCCAGACAAATGAGAGATAATGCATTTTGGAAGATCAAATTCAGGTGCGAATTATACACTAAATGGTAGAACCCTAATGAGCATTGACATACAGAGAGATCTGGGCGCACAGAGTGTCAATACTGATGCATAAGGCCAAGGCAGCATACAGAATGCTTACCTTCATTGGCCAGGGCATCAAATGTACAAGTTGGCAAGTTATGTCACAGCTGAATGAAACTTTGGATGGGCCACATTTGGAATATTGCATGCAGTTCTGGTCGCCACACCACTAGAAGGACATGGATGCTTTGGAGAGGGGGCAGAGAAAGTTTACCAGGATGTTGCCTGATCTGGAGGGTTTTAGTTATGAGGAGAGGTTGGATAATCTCGGATTGTGTTCACTGGAAGGATGAAGGCCGAGAGGCGATCTGATAGAGGTTGACAAAATTATGAGAGGCACAGATAGGATGGATCGTCAGAGGCTTTTGCCCAAGACGGAAAAGTCAACTACCAAACGGCACAGGATCAAGGCAAGAGTAGGAAAGTTTAGGGGAGATGTGTGAAGAAGATTTTCACACAGAGGGTGGTGAGTGCCTGTAACACACTGCCAGTGGAGGTAGTGGAAGGAGGCACGTTAGCAACGTTTAAGACGTACCTTGATAGGCGCACGAACGGGAAGCAAACAGGAGGGATGGAAATCGTGTATGAGCTATAAGCAGCAGGTCTAAATAAGGATTAGGAATCAGCACATGCTTGGTGGGCCAAAAGGCCTGTTCCTGTGCTGTACTAGATTATATAATTTTTAAATATTCAAAAGCAATTAATCTATGATAAAATAAGATTAAAGTTATAGCCCTCATAATATTCTATATACTGGACATTTTTAAGATATGAAATTAGTGCAAAACTTACGACATTTTGGAATTCCATCTAACAAACTTTATAATGACTCATTTTTGATATTTTATTCCCTTAACCTTTACATTAAAGATTTGCTCACAGAAATGCTTTATCTTAGTAAGTCAGATATTTTTCAAATTTCACAAAACTGGTCTGTTCCTGAAGTACATTAAAAATAGAGGGAAAAAAAAATAAATGAGATACCTGTAAACTAGCATTCAGGACATCAAAGTCACTGTATCTTCTAATAATCTGAAAATAAAAAAACCTCTATCGTAAATCATTACTGTGGCCTTTATATTCTGTAATTACACTGCATAGATATTTCTCGTCTTAGTCAAGACAAAATAATGTTAGGTCCAATAAGTGAGCAATTTTTTGATTTTTAAATAAACCTTCAATGAACTTTAATAGTAAGCTACCATTCTATGGATGATATTCCTGGGGCGAAAATGCCACCAATACAATATCTACACAGGAAAAGGTGATACAGTGATGGGCATATGGAACTTTCAAGTCGACAGGACGAAATTTCTCTCCACTCAGTGGACCTGCCAGCACAAAATTGTGCTCAATTTTGCACTATTTGCCAATTTCATTCAGATAGTACAGGTTGACTAGTGTTGTAAATTGAAAAATAACACACTGGCAGAGCAAATGGCGTTCATGGAGGGGAGGCATATTTTTATGAGCTGTGTTTAGTGCTGAAACTGAATGCCTTAAATGGAAATTGTACCATTCTCAGCATTGCTATCCTTGATCTTGCTCAGCACAGAAACAAAACATACTAATTAACAGTACCAGTATTAATTTAAATATAAATATATATATTTAATCAAACAATGACAACAGTATTGAATTCTGATCAAGAATATCATGCAAAGATTGTGCACTGCATATGTATTTTCTTTGAATTTCTGATACATTAGTGTAAGGTTTATAGATTCAGCAGGGTAAGGTTTATAATTGGGGGAAGGGTAATCACAATTCTGTTAGGCAAGAACTGGGTAACATAAATTGGGAACTGATGCTCTCAGGGAACAGCATTATTGAAATGTGGAGATTGTTTAAGGAATGCATACTGTGCGCACTCGATATGTTTGTCCCTAGCAGGCAGGGAAGATGCGGTCGAGTGAGGGAGCCTTGGTTCTCAAGAGAGTTTGAACGAATGGTTAAGAGGAAGAAGGATGCTTATGTAAAGGTTTAGGAAACAAGGAACGGGAAAGGCTCTAGAAGGATACAAGTTATCCAGGAAGGAGCTGAAGAAAGGGCTGAGGAGAGCTATAAGGGGGCATGAGAAAACCTTGGCAGATAGGATCAAGGAAAACTCCAAAGCTTTTTACATGTACGTGAGGAATAAGAGAATTACCAGAGAAAGGGTAGGTCCGATCAAGGATTGTAAAGGGAATTTGTGCATGGAGCCTAAAGAGATGGGAGAGGTCCTTAATGAATACTTTTCTTTGGTATTCACAACTGAGAGGGACCTAGTTGTAGAGGAGGACAGCGTGAAACAGGCTGGTAGGCTAGACGAGGTCGATGTTAGTAAGGAAGATGTGCTAGGAATTTTGAGGAACTTGAAGATAGACAAGTCCCCGGGCTTGATGGGATTTATCCAAGGGTTCTATGGGAAGCGAGGGATGAGATCGCAGGGCCTCACTGTCCACGGGTATAGTGCCGGAAGATTGGAGAGAGGCAAACATGATTCCCTCGTTCAAAAAACGGAATAGGGATAACCCCGGAAATTACAGGCCAGTTAGTCTTATGTCAGTGGTGGGCAAATTATTGGAAAGGGCTCCGAGAGATAGGATTTATGATCACTTGGAAAGGCACAGTTTGATTTGTGATAGTCAGCATGGATTTGAGAGGGGTAGGTCATGCCTCACAAGCCTTATTGAATTCTTTGAAGAGGTGGCCAAACACGTGGATGAAGGTAGAGCAGTGGATGTGGTATACACGGATTTAAGTAAGGCGTTTGATAAGGTTCCCCATGGTAGGCTCATGCAGAAGGTAAGGAGGCATGGGATTGGGGGAAATGTGGCAGATTGGATTCAGAATTGGCTGAGCCTTAGAAGACAAAGGGTGGTAGTGGATGGAAAATATTCACATGGTGCTCAGTTACGAGTCATGTACCACAAGGATCTGTCCTGGGTCCTCTTCTATTTGTGATTTTTGTAAACGATTTGGATGAAGGAGTGGAAGGGTGGATTAGCAAGTTCGCGGACGATACGAAGGTGGGTCACGTTGTGGACACTGCGGAGGGCTGTTCTAGGTTACGAAGAAACATTGATAGGATGCAGAGCTGGGCTGAGAAGTGGCAGATGGAGTTTAACCCTGAAAAGTGTTAGGTGATTCATTTTGGTAGGACAAACTTGAAAGCAGAATACAGGGTTAATGGAGAGATTCTTGGCAGTGTGGAGGAGCAGAGGGATCTTGGGGTTCATGTTCACAGTTCCCTGAAAGCTGCCGCCCAGGTGGATAGAATTGTTGAGAAGACGTATAGTGTGTTAGCTTTCATTAATAGAGGGATTGAGTTCAAGAGCCGTGAAGTTACGCTCTAGCTATACAAAAGCCTGGTTTGGCCACATCTGGAGTATTGTGTCCAGCTCTGGTTGCCTCAATACAGGAAAGATGTGGAAGCATTGGAAAAGGTGCAGAGGAGATTTACCAGGATGTTGCCTGGAATGGAGGGAAGGTCTTACGAGGAAAGGTTGAGAGAGCTAGGGCTTTTCTCTTTAGAATGACGAAGGATGAGAGGTGACTTGACAGAGGCGTACAAAATGATCAGAGGTATAGATAGAGTAGACAGCCAGAGACTTTTTCCGAGGGTGGAGGTAGCTATTACGAGGGTTCATAGTTTTAAAGTGAGTGGAGATAGATATAGGGGAGACGTCAGAGGTAGGTTCTTTACTCGGAGAGTGGTCGGGGCGTGGAATGCATTGCCGGAGAGGGTAGTGGAGTTGGCCTCATTAGGGGCATTTAAGCAGCTATTAGATAGGCATATGGATGATAGTATAAGGTAGGGATGGAGGTTACATAGACCTTAGGTTTAGGGTAAAAGTTTGGCACAACATCGTGGGCCAAAGGGCCTGTACTGTACTGTTCTATGTTCTATGAGCAATGTACGTTCTTACAGAGACCAGGCAAATTGCATAACTAGGGTTATAGATAGGACTGTAAACTAAACAGGTTGGCAGTGGGGGAGACAGTGGTTGGGTTCAGTTGCATAGAAGATTATGGAAATAGTTAAGGGGGGGGGGGGAGGTGCACTCAGCACGAGTTATTAAAGTCGTGAGAACAAGTAATAGGACAGAGAGTATGGAAAAGGTCAGCAGATAAGGAAACAACTATGAGAAGGGAGCAGTGGGGAATCAATATAAGCCCGAGTACTTAAAAGCACACAGTATACAAAACAAGGTAATGAGCTTTTAGTGCAGATAGAAATGAGCAGATATGATGTTGTGGGTGTCACTGATGTGGTTACAAGGAGATCAGGGCTAGGAACTAAATATCCAAGGATACACATCCTACCAAAAGGACAGGCAGATGGGCAGAGTGGGTGGGGTTACTTTGTCTGTAAGAAGTGAAATTAAATCAATAGCAAGAAGTGATATGGAGTCGGAAGGTGTAAAATCTGTAAGGGTAGAGTTGAGGAAGCGCAAAAGAAAAAAGATCCGGAAGGGAGTTGCGTACAGGCCTTCTAGCAGTAGTCAGGACGTGGGACGAAAATAAATCAAGAGATAGAAAATGCATGCAAGAAAGGCACTCTTACAATAATCATGAAGAACTTCAATATGCAGGTGGCTGGGAAAATCAGATTGGTACTGGATCTCAAGAAAAGGAATTCATAGAATGTCTACGAGATACTTTTTGGAGCAGCTTGGGAGAGCCTACTAGGGAACAGGCAATTCTGGAACTGGTGATGTGTAATGAGGCAGAATTGATTAGGGAGCTTAAGGTGAAGAAACCCCTACAAGAGAGTGACCATAATACAACAGAATTCACCCTGCAGTTTGAGAGTGAGAAGCTTTAATCAGATGTAACTGTATTATGATTGAGTAAAGGTAACTACAAAGACATTAAGGAGGAGCTGGCCAGAGTTATTGGAAAGGGAGTTCAGCAGCAATGGCAGCAGTTTCTGGGAGCAATTCAGGAGGCACAACAGAACTTCATCAACAGGAAGAAGAAACATAATGAGAGGACAAGGTAACAATGGTTGACAAGGGAAGTCAGGGACAACATAAAAGCAGAAGGAAAAGCATGCAATGTGGTGAAGATTAATGAGAAGCCAGAGGATTGGGAAGCTTTTAAAACCAGCAGAGGAGAATTACAAAAGCAGTGGGGACTGGGGAGGTGGGGGGTGGGGGGGATGATGAAATATGAGAGTAAGCTAGCTGGTAACAGAAAAGAAGATTGCAAGAGTGTTTTTAAGATATATAAAACAGAGGCAATGGTGGACATAATACTGCTGGAAAATAAGGCTACAGAAATATAAATGGGGAACAAAGAAATGGCGGAGGAACTGAACAAGTACTTGCATCAGTTTTCATTGTGGAAGACTCCAGCAGGATACTTCGAGAGAGCCAGGGGATAGGAGTGAGTGTAATGGCCAACAATAACGAGAAGGTGCTAGGGAAGCTGAACAGTTTGAAGCTGGATAAATCACTAGGACAAGATGGACTACATCCCTGAGTTCTGAAGAAGATAACTGAGGAGATTGTAGAGTCTTTGGTAGTGAATTTTCAGGAATAACTGGAGTCAGAAACAGTCCCAGAGTCCTGGAAAATGGAAAGGGCAGGAGGCAGCAGACAGGAAAGTATAAGCCAATTAGCCTGACCACGGTCGTTGGTAAGAATTGAGAGGCCATTGTAAAGAATGTGATTGTAGAATACTAAGTGCATGGTGAAACAGGGCTAAGTCAGCACAGCTTCGTCAAGGGGAGACCATGCCCAACAAATACATTAGGATTCTTTGAGGAAGTAATGAGCAAGTTAGAATAAGGAGAGCCAGTGGACGTGATCTATTTGGATTTCCAGAAGGCCTTTGACAAGGTGCCACGCAGGAGGCTACTAATAAGACCCATGGTGTTAGGGGCAAGTCACTGGCTTGGATAGAGGATTGACTGACTGGCAGAAAGCAGAGAGTGGAGCTTCACAGGGGTCACTTTTGAAACCACAACTATTCATGTTGTACATTAACAATCTGGATGAAGGGGCTGAGGGCATTGTTACTAAGTTTACACATGACATAAAGACAGGTAGAGGGGCAGATACTGTTGAGGAAGTGGGGAGATTGCAGAAGGACTTGCACAGACTAAGAGAATGGATGAAGAAATAGCAGATGGAATACAAAGTGGAAAAGTGAAGGTTATGCACTTAGGTAGGAAGAATAGCAGCATAGACTATTTTAGAAACAGGGAAAAGCTTCAGAAGTCTGAAGCATAAAGGGACTTAGGAGCCCTAGTTCAAGATTTTCTTAATGTTTACACACAGGTTCAGTTGGCAGTTAGGAAGGCAAATGCAACATTAGCATTCGTTTACAGACGGCTAGAATACAAGAGCAGAGATGTACTCCTAAGGCCTTACAAGGCTCTGGTCAGATCACATTTGGAATATTGAGAGCTGTTTTGGGCCCAGTAAGGAAGGATGTTCTGGAGTTGGAGTGGGCCCAGAGGTTTACAATAATGATGATTCCAAAGATGAAGGGCTGGTCATATGAGGAGTAGTTGAGGAACATGGATCTGTACTCAATGGAGTTAGGGCAGGGTCTCATTGAAACCCACAGAATACTAAGAGATCACGGAGTGCTTTTAAAACAGAGATAGATAGGTCCTTGGTTAGTAAGGGGATTAAGGGTTACAGGGAAGAAGGCAGGACAATGGGGTTGAGAAACTTATCAGCCCTGATTGATGGAGGAGCAGATTTGTTGGTTGAATGGCCCAATTCTGCTCCTATATCTTATGGCCTTATGTTCCAAACTTTAAACATCCCATTAGAGTAAAGGTTTTCATAATGTTAATTAAAATTTCCCTTACCCAACGGTAGACTATAAGTCCAAGTGCTGCCACAAAGTACAATCACCACAAGAACTGTTTACAGTTCAAGACGGAAGCTGACAACTTTCTCAAAGGCAATTAGGTGTGTACAATAAACTGAGGCTTGTCCGCATTGTAGACTGGTTAGTAAGGTTAGATCCAATGGAATCCAAGGGGAGCTAGCCAAGTGGATACAAAATTGGCTTGAGGGTAGGAGACAGAGGGTGGTGGTAGTGGGGGGTTGTTTTTCAGACTGAAGGCTTATGGCCACTGGTGTGCTGCAAGGATCGGTGCTGGGTCCACTGCTTTTTATCATTTACATAAATGATTTGGATGTGAATATAGGAGGCATGGTTAGTAACTTTACAGATGACACCAAAATTGGTGGCACATTAGACAGTGAAGAAGGTTACCTCAGAGTACAATGCTACCTCGATCAGATGGGCAAATGGGTCAAGGAGTGGCAGACGGAGTTTAATTTAGATAAACGTGAGATGTTGCATTTTGGTAAAGCAAACCAGGGCAGGGCTGATATACTTAATGGTAGAGCCCTGGGGAGTGCGCCCAAACAAAGAGACCTAGGGATGCAGGTGCTTAGTTCCTTGAAAGTGATGTCAGAGAGAGACAGGACAGTGAATAAAGCATTTGGGATGCTTGCCCTCGTTGGACAGAACACTGAGTTTGGGAGTTTGGATGTCATGTTGCAGCTGTCGAGGACATTGGTGAGGTCACTTTTGGAATACTGTGTTCACTTCTGGTCTCCCTGTTATATTGCCGAGACTGGAGGGTTTTAGCTATAGCGAGAGGATGAATAGGCTGGCGCCTTTTTCACTGGAACATCAGAGACTGAGGGGGACCTTACAAAGGTTTATAAAATCATGAGAGGCGTAGATAGGGTGAATAGCCAAGATCTTTTTCCCAGGGTAGGGCAGCCCAAAACTAGAGTGCATAGATTTAAGGTGTGAGAGGATTGATTTAAAAAGGGACGTGTGGGGTAACTTTCTCCTGTAGAGGGTAGTGTGTATATGGAACGAGCTGCCAGAGGAAGTGGTGGAGGCAGGTACAACTACAACATTTAAAAGGAATCTGGATGGTTACACGAATAGGAAGCGTTTAGAGACATATGGGCCAAATGCTGGCAAACAGGACTAGATCAGATTGGGATGTCTGGTCGGCATGGACAAATCAGACCGAAGAGTCTACTTCTCTACTATACAACTCTGATTCTAAAAGCACCCTACAATTAAATCAAAAGAAATCCAAACTTATTTATCGACTTCCCTTTGTTAAGGGATTTTCAGAGTAGAAAGGTACGCATGAAAATGGTTAAAATGATATTAGACCAAGCCAATTATTCTTTAATCAACCTTTTTCGGGGGCTGAAAGCTATATTAATAGCACAAAGGAAGGAAAAAGGCACGGCCTTATATAGCAACATCTAATGAACATGGGATGCCCCAAACGCTTTCATAGCCAATTGAAGTCTAGTTATTGCACTCAATATGTTCTTTAAAAAAAGAACGAAAGAAAGTAATGACATAACGATTAGACAACTGGATTTTTGAGACACACTGACGGAGGGATAAATATCAGGCAGAACATGAGGGATAACTTCCCTCTCCTCCATTGATCTATAGTTACAGCTATAGCTTCTTTTACATTCACCTGAAGACAAAGAGGCCTGACAGCATATCATTTCCTCAGTACTGCATTGAAGTGTCTGCCCAGGTTTTGAACTCAGGTTTCTAATTCATAAACTTCTGCGGCATTGATACAGCCGCAATGAATTTTTTTGCCATTGTGGTTTGATGCAACTAAATAGCTTCTACTTCAGAGGGCATTTAAGAGACAATGTTGTTACAGGTCTGGGGTCAGATAACCCAGACCAAATAAGGATGGCAGATTTCTGCCCCTAAAGGAGGATGGCAAACCAGGTAAGTTTTTATGACAATGCAGTAGCTTCACTATCATTGTTAAGGCTAATCTGAATTCAGATTGATTGAATTTAAATTCTCCCAGCTACCACTGAAGAATTTAAACTCCTTTTTCAGAGTTAGCTGAGGCCTCTGGAATACTAGAACATTGATATGACCGTTTTACTACAGAAACACACCTCATGGATATTTATAAAGCACCTTTAGACTAAAACAAATTCACCAAGTACCTCATACAGACAATGGGAAATAGACAGGAAAAATTAAAACCCGCACAAAAAGAAAGCTTCATACGCAACATTTTTGCAGAAAAATGATTCACACAGAATATCCAAATGATTTAACTTAACTCCAGAAATAAAGTGACCTTACAATTCAAAAATGACAATATTATTTACTCATTGCTACTACATCTCTCATAACCCAAGTAGAGATTTGCTTGACTAAGGGAAAATAAATCAATTCAAAACATAGCTGAATTTCAATAGCTATTGCATAACAAAACCATTGCTTCTTTACTGGATTAATTCACTTGTCCTCTTGTTGCCAAGTATACATGTACAAAATTATCGACTCAGTACTTGTATTTATCCATTAAGGCGGGCATAAAGAACAATTATTGTTTTTGGGCAACTGCTCTTTACTAGGAGATAGATGATCATTGGCTGCCTTCTACGCGTTATACACAGTTAACTGATAACAATGTAATAGGGTGAAAGAATTACATTGAAATTAAATACCTGCCAACTGTTTTCTGCTGAAACTCCACGTTGTACACGAATAATATATTCCTACAAAAGTAAACGACACATGCAAATTAGAGCAAGGCAGGAACATAATGTCTCATTCTTTTAAAATACAATACAATGGGCTGAAAATGTGAGCATACAGCAATTATTTTGGTTTCAGAAATCAGAATTGCAGTTGAGCGCAGTAGATTGCTTTAAACTGGCCTTGTGGATAAAGGCAAGCCCTGCTGTAATGTCGAAGTTTAAAAGTTCAAATTCTAGTCTTTTAATTTACAGTCATTCAATCATACAGCATGGAAATAGACCCTTCGGTCCCACTCATCTGCAACACCCAGACATCCCAATCTGACCTAGTCCCATTTGCTAGCATTTGGCCCAAAATGTCTCTAAACCCTTCCTATTCATATACCCATCCAGATGCCTTTCAAATGTCATAATTGTACCCGCCCTCCATCACTTCCGCTGGCAGCTCCTTCCACACATGCATCATCCTCTGCGTGAAAAAGTTACCTGTTAGGTCCCTTTCAAATCCTTCCCCTTTCACCTTAAACCTTTGCCCTCTAGCTTTGGACTCCCCTCCCTAGAAAAAAAAAAGATCTTGGCTAATCACCCTATCCATATTTTGTAAACCTGTATAAAGGTCACCCCCTCAGTCTCCAAGGCTCCAGGGAAAAAAAGACCCAGCCTATTCAGCTTCTGCCTATTAATCAAACACTCCAGTCCTGGCAACATCCTTGTAAATCTTTTCTGCACCCTCACAAGCTTAACAAACATTCTTCCTAGTCTTGGATCACAGCATGTATCCAAGCAGTTCTTTTTAGATTCAGTTAAATATAGTTTTGAGAAGATTTGACAATAGCAATTTGCTTAAATTTTAATGTTTATTAAGTAATAATAATGATTATAGTGGTAATAATAAATGGAAAAGAGAAAAAGCAACAAGTCTCATGCCCTTCTGCCTGTCAGGGACCCCTCAATCAATGTCTAATCTGGAGGTTTAGTTTTGTTCCTGGCACAGTTCACGATTCTGACCCGAGGTGAAGTTCAGTGACTTAAAACAAAATTCACTCTCTCTCATACAGTGTAACAAACAGCCAGCACAGGGAACAGCAGATACAGAAGACAAAACCTCTGGCTGACACAGAAAACACAGCTACAGAAAAACAAGCTGCAGGTGTCGTCTTTGGCTCGTGAAGGAATATTCACAGGACTCATTGAAGATCCTGCAGCTTATCGAGTATCATCATTAACGTTCCCAGGCTGTTTTCCCATCCTATACAATTCATTTTCTCATCCAGCTGTCAAACATCATCATTACCTTTTCACCCTTCGGCCCATCCTATATAATCCAACCCGATGATATTTGACAGCACATGTTACAATTGCAAATGCAGAAACAAATCAGTAATAGCCACATGAGAACGTATAAAAGAGTATGTGACCTACACATATTAAAACTACAAATTAAAAACTACAAATTAAAAATTAAAACTACAATGAAAATAATCATCATCGATGCAAGTAATATAACAATAGGGTGCACCATCAAATTAATGACCGCAGTGGTCTTTTTCGTAAGGTGAGGTACAACAGCTGCCAACTGATGAATCATCCACAGCAGCATCCATCCATTCACAACTTGCATGGTTCTGTGAAGGAATCATATTTTATCAGTTTACAATCTGACAACTCACTCTCTTTTTGTTAATTTCCTTCTGCCTGTACACTCTGGTGCTTCCTGCCTCATTATCACACACTTTTCACCCTGTACAAAGGTCGTCTGACATTGTAGGTTTATTGGCAGGAGGTAACTGGCCACCCCCTTCAAACATTCTATTCATGGGTGTCCCGCCTTTCAGAGGCCGATTGTTCAGATTAAACAATGCCTGTGGCAGCACTTCGAGCCACCCATGTAATGTATAATTAGGGGTCAATAATTTAATTTGGTGTTTTAATAACCCATTCATTCGTTCTACAAGGCCAGCTGCTCAAGGGTAGTAGGGAATGTGAAATATCCCATGTATCCATAATTCGCCACCAAAACTGTCTTGAATCAAAGAGTGCATCCAAGCAGTTCTTTACGGATTCAGTCAAATGTAGTTAAAAGAAGGATCGACAATAACAACTTGCTTCTACAGACCTAAATCCAGAGTGTGCCACATTCCATCCTGGAATACGGAAGATCTCAAGATCTCTAGAGCAACTGGCTGCTCTTCCCTTCTCTTACACGTTTTCCCGAATCCCACCCCCATCACCAAAACTGTCTTGGATCACAGTGTGTATCCAGGCAGTTCTTTTGGATTCGGTTAAATATAATTAAGAGAAGACTCGACAACAGCAATTTGCTTAAATATTAATGTTTATTAAGTAATAATAATGATTATAGTGGTACTAATAAATGGAAAAGAGAAAAAGCAACAAGTCTCATGCCCTTCTGCCCATCAGGGACCCCTCAGTCGATGTCCAGACTGGAGGCTTAGATTCATCCCTGGCACCATTCACGATTCCAATCCAAGGCCAAGTCCAGTGGCTTGGAACAGAACTCTCTCTCTCCTATACAGAGTAACAAACAGCCAGCACAGGGAACAGTAGATCCAGAAGACAAAACTGCTGGCTGGTACAGAAAACACAGCTACAGAAAAACAAGCTGCAGGTGTCGTCTTTGGCTCGTAATAGTATATTCACAGGACTCATTGAAGCTTATTGGGTATCATTGTTAACTTTCCCAGGCTGTTTTCCAATCCTATACAATTCATTTTCTCATACAGCTGTTGAATACCATCATTACCCTTTTGCCCTTCAGCCCATCCTATACATTCCTATAGAATGGATATTCCAGGATTTTTTACAGTGCTCTAAAAGTGGCCTCACCAATGTCCTGTACAGCCACAACATGACATCCCAACTCCTATACTCAATCAGAGATAGTAGGAACTGCAGATGCTGGAGAATCCGAGACAACAAGGTGCAGGGCTGGATGAACACAGCAGGCATGATGCTGCTTGGCCTGCTGTGTTCATCCAGC